TATTTTTTCCCCTGTCACTTTCCAATTGAGCTCTATGAAGACTAAGATGCCTGTGGCCTGTTCTCCGCGCTGCCCCGGGTTGTATGTAGGTCACAATTCTCGAGACAGAAATAGGACTCCATTTGGTGTTTATGTCTTTGGCAGCTGCATCATCATCTTGTATCAAATCCAGGCCCTCAGGGGATGGAGTCTTCCTCGTCACAGATGGCACCCGAATTGGAGGTCCCATCCGCAGTGGCTCGGAAACGTGAAGGAGCCATCTTCGAGCCATCCGAGCTCAGGCTGAGAATTTGCCGCGCAGCACACAACGCTTTAGCTATGCAGCCACGCTGTGGGCCGTGGGGTGACCGAGGTGTCCCTTTGGTCTTACCACCTTCCGGAGGTCGACGCTCCCGGCCGCGGGCAGGGTCTGCTCTTGCCTGTCCTTCCAGAAGGATTGCAGATGCTCTCTGCTTTTCCTGAGCAGCAGTTTGAAGGTGTCTCTGCAGCGCTGATCTCATTGTTTGTTTAGAGGCATGAATTCTCCTTTTGTAAAGGGGGTTGTCGTGGATTTTGAAGAGAAACTCAGCGCTGACACTTTGTCACACAGAGGCTGGCAGGACAGGGGACTGTCACGGAGCACCTGGGATTGTACAGAGTTGCACCAACGTGATGTGCTTCATACTGCTAGAACTTGAGAGCATAGAGCAGGGGTCCCCAACCTGTGGGGAGTTGTACAGTTATTTCATCATATATTACAATGTAATAATAATAGAAATAAAGTGCACAATAAATGTAATGTGCTTAAGTCATCCCCAAACCGTCCCCCACTCCCCAGTCCTTGAAAAATCGTCTTCCATGAAGACCGTCCCCAGTGCCAAAAAGGTTGGGGACAACCTCAAAAAGGTTGAGGGTCTTAGAGATTCTAGTTAGTGCTCACAGAACGTGAACATAATGCACGTCAGCTCGGGGAGCTAAGGACCCTTCCGTCAGCCGAGGAAGCCTCGAGGCCAGGGCAGATCCTTAGCATCTGTTCCCGGACCCAGCAAGCTTAGAAGAGCAGAGAAGTTCTAGAATCTAGACACAAGGTACGCCGTTGATACCGAGGACCGAGGGCTGATTTGACTTTCTCCCTCTTTTCTGTGTAACAGTAAAATTCGCTGAGTGAATTCCATTCCTTCAGTTACTCAGAAAGTATTTGTCAACCGTGGTAGTGGCACTTTCTGCCATGTGGGCGCTGTGCTCGGTGCTGGGAAGGGCACAAAGAGGAAGAGGGCCCAGTCCCGCCCGGCAGGACTTCTCAACCCACTGAGGCTCACGGGCGTGCCCACAAATAGCCGCGGGTGCCGCAGGACAGGAGAAACGAACGTGTTACGGGGCTCGGAGAAAGGAGCAGTCCCTGCCTGTTAGGGCTGAGCCAAGAAACACCTTTTACAAAGTCTTTACGGGAAGCCATACCGAGCTGGGATTGGGAAGCTGGGTGCTTTGACACGCCGCGATGGGAAGAAGGGCGTTCCAGACACGCAGGCTGGACGGCAGGGCCTGCCCGTGGCCGGCGAGACGCCCAGCAGTCAGGTGTGGCCGTGGGAAGGTGTGGAAAGGGGCAGTGTGGAGGCACCAGGAGGGGACTGGATGGGACTGGGATGCCAGGAAGGGAACTTGAATGTCCTTTGGCAGGAGCAGGGGGTCACTGAGGGCTTCTGAGCAGGGACTTGTGTGACGGGAGCTGGAAGCAGGCAGGCTGGACAGACGGAGGGAGAGAGACCACCGTGGCAGGCAGAGGGAGGAGGTCACTGTTTTGGCTGTTCCCAGGCGGGAGGAGACAGAGAGGGGTCCCTGAGGGGAGGGCAGGTGGCAGGGGTGCTGGGCGGGAGGAAGGCTGCTGCCCCCTGCTAGGGGAGCAGGAAGGGGGAAGACAGGAGCAGAAGGACAGTGCACTCAGGCCCCCGGGGCTTATGGCAGACCCGGAGCAGGGCTCGGTCGCCTTGCGCAGAGCTATCGCCGTGGGCGCTGTCCTGCCCCGCGCTGCTCCCCTGCTCCGTCTCCCATGGAGGGGCCGAAACTGCAGCTGGCTGGGGGGGAAGGGAAGGGGGATTAACTTAAAATCAAGTTGATAGTTTCCATTATTAACTAAGATTGTTACACTTTTATTTACTTAAATGAGACTGTTTGCTACGTAAAGTGACTTAAGGACTTGCTGTTACCCTCATATTAAGGTCAGAAAAGCCACAGCCCACCTGAGTTTCCATGCAGGGGCAGGCGCAGGTTTAACGGGGAGACAGAGACTGTTGCGTTCAGATTCACACCCAGTCCCTGTGTCTGACAACCAGCTGCACGGTTAGAGACCCGCGGGCAGCAGGCCCCGTGCTTCCCTCCTCCTCCTTTCCTGGGTCGCCTCTGAATAAGTTAAGGTGCGCTGAGTGCAAATGACTGAAACGGCAGCCCACTGTCTCTGCGGTGAGAATGTGCCAGGGGACAGGAATCCTCAGTTAAAGACACTGACCTCTAATTTCTGAGCATCAGATGTCAGCAGGGGGAGGGACATCCTCGTTGGGGAAGACGAGGCGATGAGAGACCTCCGGAGGCAGCAGCATGGAGAGGTGGGGTGGCCCTGAGAGATCCCAGCCGGCGTGTCTCGCACCAGGGACAGGAGAAACAGTTCAGGGCGAGGCGAGCTCATTGACTACAACTTGCTGTAAGGAGGCGACCTTGTGACTTTGAGCAGGAAGACTTTGAGGTTGTCCTTGCAAAGGCAAAACAGGAAAAACAAACGCACCAACACCTAAGATCCACTAAGTCGCCTTCACAAGAGGGTTCTGACAGCTCCGGAGTGGGAGTGTCCCTCCTTGGAGAAGCTAAATGGAGCTACGTAAATCACAGCTCTAGGCCCCGAGGTGGGACAGGCCCTAGTGACAGGTCCGCCCTGGTTCCCATCGCCCAGCTGTGCCCTTGCTGCTTCACAACTGCACCAGCCTTTCCTCACTCAAATCCATTCATCGTGAGAAAGAGGAAACATGTGGGCCTGTTTTCCTCTCTGCCATTATTCAAATTATGCTGAATTGTAAATTTTAATTTTTCTGGAAAATTCTCTTCTATACCATCAATCTTTTTCCTAACCATTTTGTGTTTTATATCTATCTATCTATCTATCTATCTATCTATCTATCTATCTACCATATATTAATATAAGCCATGCAATATATAATCATAATATATATAATATATGGCTAATATATATCAATTAAAATCTATTATTCAGTACCAGAGTTAATTTTATGTCTTTGGTATAGACTGTGTTTATTTCTTTTTTTCCTTTAATTTTTTTATTTGGAAATAATTTCAAAGTTACAGAAAAGTCGCAAGAATAAGACTAGCGCCAAGAGCATCCATGTACCCTTTACCCAGATTCACCTATTGTTAATATGTTATCCCATTTGTTCCAGTTAGACAAAATTCCTTGTCTGGACTATTTGTGAGTAAGCTGCCTGCATCATGCCACTTTATTCCTAAATGCTTCAGTGTCTGTTTCCCAAAACGAGGGTCTCTCACGTAGCCCGGTACACATTCTCAGCATCCCCAGCCGCTGGGCAGCTGTGTCTAAGTGCGCAGGCGCGCAAAGGCCTGCGTGCGAGCACTCCTGGCTCTGGTCTCAGCAGGGGACCACGCCTGTGGCCCTCGAGACCTGGACTCTTGCCACGTCCCTTTGCCCTCCCATCAGAGACCTGCCCAGCAGTGGGGTGCTGCTCCCCATGGCTCCCAGGACCAAGGCCCCGTCTGTCTCCAGTCTTGAGCAGCTTTCCAGTCCTTTCTTCTCCAGGTCCCCTCTTTGCTTGGTATTGAGCATATGAAAGAACATATTTTTTGGTAGAGATGGGGTCTCACTATGCTTCCCAGGCTGGTCTTGAACCCTTGGCCTCAAGCAATCCTCTAGCCTCTACCTCCCAAAGCGCTGGGATTACAGGTGTGAGCCATCGTCCCCGGCCTGTCCTGATGAGGTGGACAGTCAGGCAGCGCGTTCCACTCTAGATATTATAACTCCACGATTTGCATCATGTTCCTTGATGCCCATGACATCATGATGATGGACTGACTGTGGTCATTGCAGACACCATCCTCACCTGGGTCCAGGTGTCCAGTTAATTTCACTCCTGACTCAGGCCACCTGTGGGGTCAGCCCGCCAGGCCCTGGCGCTCCCCACTGTCCTGGCCTGGACGCCTGGACCTCAGGCCGGTCGTCAGACTCTGGCCTCGCACAGATTTCAGTCTGTCCCTAGAGCTCCTCTCCCTGACCCATCACAGTCACTGCTGCCAGTCAGCTTGTCGGAATGACAACAGGGAAGAGGTTTTCACAGAGTTAAGAGCTGGGCCACGGTCAACACTTGGTAGCTCAAATGCCTTCTGGAAAAGCATGAGATTGTTATATTCCAGCAGCTGAAACGTCGTCTTCTGAAACCAGCCTGCACGTTCATTTCTATAGCTCATTACCCTTTTTTGGATAGAATACCTCTGAAATACTGAAAAATGGTTTCTTGCCATCTGAAAGTAGATTTACAGTCCTCAGCATTCTGTGCTGGCTGTGAGTCCCTGAGATGTTTGACCCAAGTAGGAAAAGCTGACTCTGATGAAGATGGGACTAAATTGATGTCTTCTCCTATAAAGTAATTCCAGGGCAGGGTGGCGTCTATGAATCCATAGACTCATGCGCTGTGATTACAAAGCACACATGTGTATTTGCCCAAGCTCTGCACATCTTAGATTGATTATGCCAGCGTCTCCCTGGGGGACCAGAGGGCTTGGGCTGTCGTGGCTGGGGAGCGAGGGTGGAGTCGTCCACAGGAGAGAGCTGCAGACTCCCCCAAAAGTAAATCCTTAGTGTAGGTGAATCATTAATGGGAGTCAATTTCATTCCTCCAAATAGACTTTTGGCGTTTTAGAAGGTACAGACTGCTTACTGTTGATTCCTAACATTGCATTTCCCTTTCTTTCTCCCCACCCCTCCTGCCTTCCCAACCTGTTGGCAGCTGCCCGTACCTAGCAGTGAAAATCACCCCCGCCATCCCCGTGGTCGGTGGCATCCTGTTCTTCTTCGTGATGGGGACCCTGCTTCGCACCAGCTTCAGCGACCCTGGAGTCCTCCCTCGAGCCACACCTGATGAAGCCGCCGACCTGGAAAGGCAAATAGGTAACGCTGAGGGTCTGCCCTTGCCCTTTGGTCCCTTCCCGCCTGTGCCTAGCCGCAGTGTGGAAGGACAGGCAGCAGGGGCAGGGCGCTGGCCCCCATGAAGAGTGGCCTGGGAAGGAAGGAGGCCGCAAGTCTTCATTCACTGCGCCGGTTGCAGGGTGGTGTGAATAGGAGGTGGGCTGTAGGGTGGGTGGAAGGACGGAAGGTGAGGCCGGAGGGACTGACACTCTGGAGGCAGGGGCTGCCACCCATGCAAGCAATACATCGGTGCCCCCAGGAGCAGTGTTTCTGGATGTTTCTTTGAAACCCAAGCATCTAATTCTGCCCTACTAAAGAATCTCCATCCTGAAAGACCTGCAATTGCAGGCTGTGCTGCTCCTTTATTCCCTTTTCCAACCATTGCTTAACTAGTTTCCATAAAACTAGCAGAGGTTACATCTCAGATGCTGTCTCATTTATCCAGCCTAGGATCCAGAACTTCTTTTATTTAGGCACGACAAAAATATGTCTGTGATATATATTGAAATGAATAGCTTTGCTTTTCCTTGGATATTAAAACCGTAGGCTAAAAGGTTTATAACTCATCTTGAAGATATTAAAACAGATCCTAACCCCTGATGCAACAAACTTTTAAAGTCTTTTCTTTAATTAAAAAGAGAGCTTTTTCTTGCTCTTAAATGCTCTTAAAAGTTTGCAGTTGTGAACATGTATCTTTGCTGTGGGGCATTGGTAAAATTTCACAAGCACAGCAGAGGGGCTGTGATGACACAGTAGGAACATAAAGTTTAAGCCTGGAAAACCACTTGGCAGGGCTGCGTCTCTCCCAGGATTTCCCTATCCTATGGACTTCCCTTGCAGCCTCTACCAAAGCTGGCAAGACACCCTTATCCACAGTGCAAGCAAGTACAGCTGTGGATCTTGCTAGACAGTGTCTCTTCTGGTCTTACCATTCCTCAAGGGCTAAAGCACAGCTGTGTCCTTCTCTCAGTATCTGCCTTCATCCTGCATGCCTGTCACCTGGGCTGGGAGCAGTAATGTGGGAGTGCACGGTTTCATCCAGTAGACTGCAGCTGTTTTGTGTCCTGGGGTAGGGAGGAAGCGGAAGGAAGAAGGAGCGATGGGGACCATCTCTTTCTTAGCCTCTGCATCTTGGGATTCTGATGCAGGGCATGCTGATTCATAATTTAAAGTCTTGCATTTTATAGCACTTTAACCATTTTTGAAGACCATCCATGTTTTCCACATCTAAGCAACCTTGTAAGGAAAACTTTATTTGTTAATAAGGAAACAAATCCCCAAAGAGGGGCTTTCATGGGCAAAAGTGGCAAAGCTGGAGCCTGGAACCCAGGTCTCAGCCCTTGTTCTTTCTAGCGAGTCATGTCACTAGGGAAGGGGAGGGAGGTCAGGCCCAGTTTCCTTCAAGGAATAGAAGTGGACCTACAGAAACTGCAGAGTCTCTGCCCGCCTTACGCCAGCATGTAGCCTGAAAATCCTCTACTCAGTGCAAGAGCCCAGCCCCCAGGGTGGGGGTGACACGCAGTGTCCTGCAGTGGCCCCCACCTCCTGGTTAGTGCAAGGAACATCTGCAAAATCAGCAAGATGAGGAACAGATTTTCTGCCTTTCTTACAAAGTGGGTGATAAAGAGTGCCAATTGAATTCGCTGTTATAAACACAGATTCTAAGCCGCACAATTTCCCTCCGTCCTTACTGGTATTGAAGAAGTTGAGAGGGAGGGAATTCACTCAAGAGCATTTCTGTTGTTATTGTTGTTGAAGTTAATAACCTCAGAGCAATATTTTTCAACTTAAGTGTTTTCTAAAACCAGCTGTGTTCCAAAGCCCCCAAAGGCATCCATCCTGTGAGAGAACTGGATTGGAGACAGGGTGAGCCTGAAACTTTGTTTCCTTTCAGGAAGGAAGAGGGGCTTTAAAAGCAAGACTTTGGCAGGGAGGAAATGAGTAGATTGGCAAATTTCCTACACAAAAATCAATGATAAAGCTGAACAAAATTGTCAGAAACAACCATTTCATGGTTCTGGAATTTGGCTGAATTGAGGAGCAATATCTAAGAAAAACTACAGAAAACTGGGTAATAGTAGTGGGAATCTGTGGCTTCTTGCTGGGGCTGCTCCCATCTCCAGCCTGAATTGCAAAGGTGAGGAAGCTCTACCAGGACAGGGCAAGCTATGAAAACCAGCTACTTCCCTTTATAAGGGGTCAGAACATAGAAAAAAATCAATAACTAAGCCTCCATCCTAAGAAACTATCAACAGAAGAGCTAACTAAACTCAAAGCAAGCAGTAGTAAAGAAACAATAAAGTTTAGAGAGGAAATCAATGAAATAGAATATAGAAAAACAATAGAAAAAAAATCAATGTGACCAAAAGTTGGTTCTTTGAAAAGATCAACACAATTGACAAACTTTTAGCTATCCTAAAGACAGACAGAGACAGAGACAGAGAGAGAGAGAGAGAGAAATTATCAAAATCAGGAACAGACTTTTTTCCAAAGGAGGTATATGAATGGCCAGTAAGCACATGAAAAGATGCTCAGCATTGTGAGTTGTAGGGAAGTACAGATCGAAACCAATGAGATACCACTTCACACCGGCTAGAATGGCTCTAATCAGAAAAGACTGACAATGACAAATGTTGGTGAGGATGTGGAGAAACTGGAACCTTCATACATTACTGGTGGGAATGTAACATGGTACCTCCACTTCGAAAGACAGTTCCTCAAAATTCCTTCGAAAGTTAAACGCAGTTACCGTCTGACCCAGCAATTCTACCCTTAAGTATATGTCCAAAAGAGATGAAAACTTATGTCCACACAAAGACTTGCATGTGAATACTCGTAGCAGCATGATACCTAGTGGGAAAAAACTGGAAACAACACAAATGTCCATCAAAGGATGAGCTGATGATCGATATGTGGTGTGTCCACATAGTGGAATACTATTAAACAATAAAAAGGAGCAAAGTATTGATACATGCACAGCATGGATGACCCTTACAGAGAGTATACTCAGTGAAGAAGCCAGATGTAAAGGACAGCATATTGTGTGATTCCTTTTTGTCTAGAAAGGACAAATCTTTAGAGACAGAAAGCAGGTTAACGATTTCCTGGGTCTGGGGGTGAGAGTGTGGGGGTGGGAGTGCAGGGCTTATTGGGGTGATGGAAATGGTTCAAAGTTAGATGGCGGTGCAATGAATTCACTAAAAGTCACAGAATTGCACGCTTTCAGCAGGTTATGGTATATACATTATAGCTCAGTAAAGCTGTAAACAGAAAACAAAGGAGGAGGATGAGGAGGGGAAGGGGGAGAGGAGAAAGATGGGTTGGGTAGAAGAAGAGGGCTTCACAGGCGCTCGGACGTGGGTTTGAATCCCGGCTCACTACTCTCTGCTTGTGTGACTTAGACTAGCACTGTGGCTTTTGAAACCCCGTGGCTCTGTGCTCGTATCTGTAAAACAGGAGTAATGACATAGATCTTTCATGGTACTTGTTAGGATTAGAGATTTTAGGGAAAGTGCTTGGCATATTGCAGATGGTAAATGGTAGTTTGTTGTTTTTTTTAAAAATTCTATCCTTTCCCCACCCAGTTCTCTCCTCACCATCTACAAACATAGGTGCTCATAAAAAGCTGCCTGAAGCGTGGCAGGAGTACGTGGTGGAGCTGGTACAGTGTCTCTGGGAAAACCATCGGCCGCATGCTCAGCCGTCCCGGCTCAGGGCTGGAGAAGGGCGCAGGTGCAGGCAGGCTGGGACGCTCCGTCACTGGTCTAATTCCTCATAAGGAGTCCTCCCGTGTACTACTTGGCTTTGGAAAATAAGATTATATTTCAGTGAAATCTCAACACATTTATTTGGTGCTATCGGGCTAAAGATGGAAAAATTAAAAATTAGATTTGGAAACTTTGTATCATTAGGGTTATTCATTCTAATTATCCGTTGTGTATCTGTTACTTATAGAAGCCCATAATAGCCTCTTGGAATCAGCCATCTGAGTAATTTACTGAAGATTTGCCAAGGATTTGAACAAATCCTTCCCCTGTCTTCAGGCTTCTGAGAGGAGTAGGAGGGGAGGAGGAGGGCTCAGGGCTTCAGAGACTGATACAAGGCTGTTGAAATGCCTTACACTTCTTTCTTCTGAAAGAATGTTCCCAACTACTTAGGTTGCAGCAGCTAAAAAGACATCAAAGAATAGCAGCAGGGGGCCGGGCAGCTGGGTCCCTGGAGGCTTGCTAGGAAACTTCAGTTTCCGAAACTCAATTTTGTCAGTTCACCCAAGGATGATCAGATAGGAAGCGCTGATTTGGGGTTAGATACTGTATGAGAAATCACAGGATCAAAGCATTTAATTTCTATGAGGCATAGACCTTTCCCTGGATCCAGATGGGGAAAGTGGCAGGCCACCTCTCTGTCCCACATTCCACACCTGCCATGTCCTCCCACCCGCCCCGACATCCTGAGGGTGCCAAGGCCAGGGGAGTCAGCGGAGAGTGAGGAGCTGAAACGGGGCTCTGCAAGCAAGACTAGTTGTTGGGAAACTCTCTCCCAAGTCACAGAAACCAGTTACCGAAATAAGTGATCGAACTTGCTTGGTAAGGGTGGATCCCATCAAAGGATGCTGAGTGGTCTTTAAAAAATTCACTTGTGCTGCTGCAGAATGGGAAGAATTACCACCTGCACCCTGCACCTCTACTGCCTGGGTAGGGCTCCACTTTCCCAGACACTCAGCAGGCAGGGCTTCCTTCTCTCCCGCCCTCTCTGTCTCTGTCTCTCTCTTCCTCTGGCTCTTCCCCTCCCCCTCCCCCATTCCCCTTCCCCTCTCCCCACCTTTGCTTAAATTCTCATCACCCAACAATTTTTCTTATAGGACACAGAACCAATCGCCAATTCTAAGAGTAAAGTCTATCTCTTGTCATTTCCTAAATCGATCTGTGAAACAGATATCCTGTAGATGAGATTTTTGTGAAGCATGGTATGGCAAATTCCCA